TATATATAGCAAATGAGTGAAGAAAGATGATTTTACATAAATTTTAAATACTCTGTTGGAATTAGCTTCTAGTACTGAATTAAAGATTAATTCACATAGCATATTTAATAGATAGGAATAAAATTTATATAAATTCAAGAATTGGAATATGGTCAGCATTATTTGCAATTCTTTGTGCTTAGAATTAGGTTCTCATGCCTCAAATTTATTGGATCATGCATGTATTTCAAAATATCATAGTCAACTGTGTTCTTGTTGTAACTATTTATAAAATAGAAAATAGTGAATCAGAAAAATTTACTGTAGACATATCACAAAAAACTTATCAACTGTTTATAAGTTGCAGAGGAAAAGGAATTTCCCTAGTCCTAGCAGTCATGATATATGTGCTAGCAAAGAATTCTGCTCCTTTTTTTTGTCCTTGCCTGGGAATTGAGATGAAATGTTAAATGAAAGGAACAGTATAACCGAAGGATTTGTCTCAGGTCCTCTCTCCTAAGTCCTTTTTCTCTCAGACCTCATGCCCTTCTGATTTGGAAGCAGGCAGCATCATTGCTTAATTTTTATGTGAGATTAATGTCCTGACTTTGATGTGCCATGTCTCCCAATTGAAGAGAGATTACATATTTATATATATTTCCAAAGGGAATTAAGGGATTTATTTCTTTGCAAAGATCTTTTATTTGTTTATATTCACTGTTACTTATATTTAAAATATGCCACTGTAAGTATTCTAAGTGTAAAATATATATACACACGCTTTGGTGTATGAATACATGATATTTATGACACTGTCATGCAGTTATTTTTGAATCGTTTAATCTATGTTAGACATTGACCACTAAATGCGGCCTGTGTTTCAGTGAGCTAAATGCTGATAGGAACCATCTTTGTGCTGAGACATCACATTCTAGTATGCATGTGTGTATGACAACACACCAAGAATTCTCTTATGTGTGTTTTTACCCTGGATTTTACAAACAATAGCAACTGAAACCAGTAACTGAAAAATTGAATTGGTTTTCAAGGCTAGGAACAAATTAAGCATGGATATTAGAGCAGATGAAAGATTTATGTGGTCATAAATTTAAGGGTATCTAAATATGTGTCCTCTAATACCAATACCAGCACTAAAGTAGGTGTTTTTGGAACTTAGTTTAAAATATCCACTGAAAGAAGCAAAGTTTGTTTGCTCAGCAGTTAGAAAACAAAAGACTGTACATCGAGGGTGTAGGCAGGACGAAAAGGGATTTTACTCTTAGAATTTAATGTTAGCCAGTGAGAACTGAATGATCCTGTTAGCTTTCCAAAAAGCAGCAGGATCAGATCAGTCTTTCAGAAGAAATTAACCATGTTTCATTAGGGTAATAAAAGAGGAAGTAATGTAAAAGTTGCTCCTCTTTTAGTCTGTGCTAGCAGTGATAATCTATTAGCCCTTTATTTGCTGGAACATTGTAACTTTTCTTTTCCTTAGGTAATTACAGAAACATTTTTACAGATGTTTTAGAAAATTACCATTTTTAAAATGTCAGATGTAACTAAGTTTTTTTTTCCTAGAGAATCTCTTTAGTATTATGCTCAGAGAGTTCCTTCAAAAAGTTACATTGACATTCCTGATATAGCAGAAAATAATACCATTTCTCTTACCTAGTCCTAAAATTTCTAAACAAATAGCTGTCCTGATCATTCGTTCATTCATTCAGAGCGGGGAAGTGTCAGTTACCCTCAGCCACAGCCCACCAGGAATATACCTGTGAAGCAAGGTGGGTGGATTACTTGTTGCAGCAGAAAGAACACGCATCAGGAGGAATGATCTCAAATGTGTGTCAGAAAGAAACTTTCATAGGATTTGAGCTTTTCTTGGGTGATTTGAGGGAGGGTCCGAGACAGCAGGGGTTTGCTCAGATTAGATACAATCAGAAAATAGGAAAGTCCAGGATATGTTGTGGATGGCACAGTGTGACCTTGCTTTTGTCTGTACTTAAAATCATGAAGTGATCTTGTTTTGTTTCATGTTACCATGGTCTCGGAGTAACCTTGGTATTCTGTGAGATTGCTTGTGAGATCACTGGGCACTGGGGACTGCTTGTTATATTTCTCAGAAGGAATATCTGGGCATGGATTAAATAAACATTTACCAAGTAGATGAAATCTCTTTTGCTATTAAATCTAACATTTGAATTACCTCTGTGTTGTTTTAAATCACTTACTATACTTTGCCATGTTTTAGCGTAGCTGCTGCTGCTGGTGGTGGTAGTAATGGTTATATGAGAATATTATGAGAAAAGAGAGAAGTTGGAGAGTTACACTTGGATCACATTATGGAGGGACCTAGTTGTTAGACTGAGAACTGTCAACTTAATTCTGTAGCCAGAAGGTTCGAGCAGGCTCCAAGCTTAACTATATTTTGCTACAAGAAAAGTAACGTGAGAGGAGAAACTGTCTTGAGGCAGAGGCTGTCTCATTCCTTCATGTGTTCTTAGTCATCTAGCATAGAGCTTGGCAGGAATGAATCAATCCCAGTGAGGACAGACTGGAGGTAGGGAAAACTATTAGATCGTTA